ACGAGCAATGACCAAGAAAATAAAAACGAAAAGGACACTTGCAGTTAACATCAGAAAGAGAGAGTTGAAATTTCTAGCACACATAATGAGGAAAGAGAGCATGGAAAATTTGATACCCGCAGGAGAGATTGAAGGCAAGAGGGGCAGAGGAAAATTACGCATAACCTAACTAGCGAGTTTGAGGAAATTATTGGTGGAACAAAGTTTAATAAAAAGATAACATTTATTAAGACCTATAAAACACAGGAAATTGTGGAGACTCATGATCACCAACTTCCTGAAGGGACATGGTATATAGAAGAATAATATGCATACGCCGGTTTATAAAGGACTCTTATACTTAGCATCAAAAAAAGATGGTTGAAATTTTCAGGGTGGATAATGAGGAATGAGGGCTTGGAAAATTTGACACTTACAGGTCATATTGAAAGCAAGAAGAACATTAGAAACCAGCGTATAACTTACATATCGTGTTTGTGTAAATGGATAGCAGAACAGGCTTTAGAAGAGATAACAAGAATTCAAAATATACTAAGAGCTACCTTGGACAGGAAATTGGAGAGAGTCATGATCACCAACATCCTGAAAGGCCATGGCAGATAGAAGAAGAATGGATTAAATACTTCGAAGCTAGCTGTTTGAATGATCATTGTTTCAAATTGTACGTAGCATTATTTTAAATAGGATTATTGTCAGTATATGACGCAATTGCAAGTCAGTGATCTGTGGAATATCCGAAAAATAGTAAGATGAAGATATTATTATACAAGGATTTTACAGTCGAAATGTCTAGATGTAACCGTAAATTCTAGACCAACAGTTTCTTCAATCGCACTTCTCACTTGTGGATCTCCCTTCTGGCTTCTAGATTTCCAGTCAACTTTGATTTTCATTTTAAAAAATATAATGTCAATCGTTATCTTTTGTCTTCTTAATTCTTGTTGTTTTACTGTCTTCCCTCCTTATAGCTGCTTTCTTTTTTCACATAATCTCTAACTCAGTAATCCCCTTGCATCTTAGTGGTTTTATCGCCTTACATGGGGTGAAATTATTAAAAAACTACGGCGAAGATGCAGTCGTCAGCAGCGTTTAGAAAGAGGAAAGCGTCACGTGAGACATGTAGAAGAGTTGGTTTAGGTTGAGCATCGATTTGGCATATATATATATATATATATATATATATATTTAGTTTATGAAAAACTAGGTAATCCATATGGGTAAACCTATTTGCTCTGCTCTTTATTGAGCACTCGTTTAAGAATAGTATTTTTGGTTACTGGAATTTATTCTGTATACACCAATCCTATATTTTTATATATATATATATATATATATATATATATATATATATATATATATATATATATTATATATATAAATTTGGGTATTGGAATTTATTCCGTATACACCAATCCTATATTTGGTTTATATATATATATATATATAGAGAGAGAGAGATTTTCCAAGTGTAGCCGAAAGTATGGGGCAGCCAGTGAGGATCAAACTCACTACTCGGTCGTAATTTACGATATATATATATATATATATATATATATATATATATATATATATATATATATATATTCTACTTTCAAGAACATTTTCCAATTGTGAATAATTTATAACTCTCTCGGTATGATATACACAAATTTATAACATTATATATATATATATATATATATATATATATATATATATATATATATATATTATTATATTGTAAATTATTCACAATTGGGAAAATGTTCTTGAAAGTAGAATGTTTTTGCAAACACATCCGTCTATACATTTTGATGATTAGGTTTCGTCATGTCGAAGGCGAAAAAAAATAAGTCGTGTATGTTCAAAATAAAATAAATGAGCGACTTTATATATATATATATATATATATATATATATATATATATATATATATATATCACTGTGTGTGTGTTTGGGAAATTTGAGACGAGGTAGCGTAAACGGTATAATACGGAAATTCAGCTAAGGCTCCTTATATACAATAATTACTAAGAGCCTTGGGGGAAGAAATGAATTCACTTCGTTCTGTTCTATTCCCTGATGACCTGACAAAATTAATTCAATGATGACATCCTCTGATGGAGAACAAATAATTTAAGTGAAAGAATTCTTGGACTAACTCATAACCCATGAGTAATCTATCGCCCAAGAAATAGCAACAATAAAAATTTATTTCATTTATTTTTAAGTTCATCAGCTAGTTTTTTTAATAGTAGAATTCACCCAATACAACGCTCAAGAACCACTCAAGGTAGAGTGAATATGTTAAAATGATAATGATGAATGATGTGTGTGACATAAATGAGAGAAGACGGTAGGAAGTGAAGATTATAAAAATAAATAGGACTGATTACGACTGAGCCTTGAATTAAAGAGCTTAAGATTGAGTCTGTTATACGAAATGATACTTCTTGAGAAGAAATCACTGTGTGAAACCTTTGGAACACGGTTGAAATAAGGGTTCTGTCGATTCCATTGAACTAACAAGACGTGTAATAGTTCTTAAATAGTAAAAAGAAGGAATGGAGATCATCTGTTATTTATATCACACACCTCATTCATCAGTGGATTTGAGCAATTGCTGTCTAAATCGACTATAAACTGACCTTGTGTCACATCCGGTAGCGCTAAGGACTCAATGAAAATGACCGATTCTCAGCTAAGATCAAAGTGTAGTATCTGTTCTTCATAAGCTTAATCTTATTCTCTCTTCCCTCGGAAATAGTAACAGAGTATCAGTAGATGCTCTGTTGTCTTAACTGGTTCTTGTAAAGTACAGTTCCGTATAATCGTTATTTTTTATCAAGTTTGACACAAGGTATTATTTAAATAGTACCCTCAGAAAGGTGAACTGCTTGAGAAAGAAAAACTGTTAAATTTTAGAGTCAAATGTCTGTTGACTATAGAAAAACCAAAATAACCACGCCAATGATATTCAAAATAATTAATGATGCACAATGAGAATTGCTAACGGCCCAGTGAAGTTAGCTCAAAAGTCCAATGTATGTAAACCGCATTTACTATCCAGTGAAGCAAAACGAGAAGAAAAAAAACAACTACGAATCTTTTCCACTGGCAGTTTTTAGGAATCACTGAAGGGCAAAATTAATACTTTCATTGATTATAGATCATTTTGGTGTTGCTGATATCTATCCTTGCCGATCGAAATAAACAGGACATGACGATGAATTTTAATCAGGTATTTTTTATCAGCAGAGGCGGAACCGAACTATTATAAAATGAACAGGTTTCGTTACAAGAAATAAATCAAAATTATCGACAACTCCATTTTTTTTTTTTTTCGTCTTGCTTTAAGTCGGGTAACTTTCAAAAGAAACTTATCTTTATTTTTGGACGCCACTTGATGGTTTAAATGCAGGAGAGCAAAAATTGCATTCAACACCAGATGTTATCGTTGTTCTTCGTTATTTCTTTTAAAATGAACATGCTCAGGAGTAAGAAATAAAAAAAAGACATTGATTCTTTATAAAACCATACATAGCTATTCATGGCGAGATAGAAAACACGTCCAACCAACCTAATTTTATAATCTGATGAATTCAACTCTACAACACTTATGACCTTGCAGCAGACTAGTCTCATAATTAGATGTAATCGTAGGGTCACTGCACCCTGCAAGCGCCCTCTACATGTCTCGGTAAGTATTAATTCATGCGGGACGTGTTTCGTGCAAAGTAGACATTGCGGAGCCGATCACTCTCTCTCTCTCTCTCTCTCTCTCTCTCTCTCTCTCTCCTGCAACCAAAATCCGGACGCATGAAGGCTCGCCTTGGTCACGGATACGTGGCTGTTGATAACATCGAGTGAATGCTCTGCACTGGCCATTAGCTTCAGTCTAGAAAACCCGACGATAAAGTGTCATCGCCGCCATGGCCATACTGCCAATAGTTCAGTCCCGTGTTCAGCTGATCGAAACTCGCTGTATTTACTGTCTGTTGGCTGAACTCATTACTGGTAAGGACTTCGGAATCACTAAATATGGAGTTGCCCACATAATTCGGTGCCAAATGAGATGATCTAATTTTTTTTTCAACTTATTGTTATTTAAAGAAGAAACATGTTTGAGAGAGTAAGGATTTTTCTTTCGCAGGGGGCCAGTTAATATTCTGTTAACACTTATTAAGAGATATCAATAGTTTTTTTCCGTTACAAATCATACTATTTAACCCGTATCTAGGAAGGAGATGAATTTATCCAACGCTATTTGCACATAAATGTTAGATTAAAAGAATCGTTATAAAATATAACAATTATTTTCCTATTTTAATTGTGCTTGTCCCTCACTCCGTTAGTTTGCACGACCGTTACGTTCTGCCAGTACCTCATAAATAATGCACTATTTTGTTTTGATCTCGTGGAAAGCGGGGAAAATACATTACTTGGTTTCACTGAGAGAAATAAAGAAGGGAAGATATAAGTGGAAAGAGAGAATCAGATTAAGCTGATATGAACAGACACTACACTTTAATCTTAGCCAAAAGGCTGAGAAGCGGTATTTTTCAGTGGGTCTTTAGAGCTACCGAATGGGACAAAGGGTCAGTTTGAAGTAGGTTTAATGGTAATACGGTGGAAAAATTACCAAAGAAAAATTGCTTGGAATTTGAACTTGGCTCGCCAATTTCACTTTCGCGCTTGGATCCATTCCTCTACAAGAGCGGAACTGTCATAAGTCAAAGTAAATAGAATGGTGGAATGGAAATCAAATTCTGATTCAGTTTCCTCAAACGAACTTCAATGGGAAAGGTATAAATCCAACTCAGTAAGTCAGATCAGCGAGGATTGATTCCTGATGATTTCACGCTGAATCCAATAGAAGTTGTGACATATTATTTGGAGTTTAGATGGTCAGCGACAAGTAACTCCTCATTTCCTAGAGTCATGCCATAAATAACGGTTCCCCAAGAGTCTATCAGGCCGTTGGATAAAGTGATTTTTGTCATACAATGATGAAAATACAGTTACGTATCTCGCAAACTGGAGGCAGATTGATTTATAACCGAAAGCAAATACGTGGCCTTCTTCGTGCATATATTAAAAATTACCACATAGATAGATAGATAGATAGATAGATAGATAGATAGATAGATAGATAGATAGATAGATAGATAAAGAAAAATGAGATAAAAGATAGACATGAATAGACAGAGAAAGAAAGAAAGAAAATCTGTCTTAGGTATTAAAATTGCCACATAGATAGATAGATAGATACATAGATAGATAAAAGAAAAAATAGACAGATAAAAGATAGATAGATAGATAGATAGATAGATAGATAGATAGATAGATAGATAGATAGATAGATTTGAATAAACTGTGATAAATAAAAAATACTAGGTAGATTTGAATATAGATAGATAGATAGATAGATAGATAGATAGATAGATAGATAAAGAAAAATGAGATAAAAGACAGAGATAGATATGAACAGACCGAGAAAGAAAGAAAGAAAGAAAGAAAGAAAGAAAGAATCTGTCTTAGATATTAAAAATTACCACATAGATAGATAGATAGATAGATAGATAGATAGATAGATAGATAGATAGATAGATAGATAGATAAAGAAAAATAAGATAAAAGATAGACATGAATAGACAGAGAAAGAAAGAAAGAAAATCTGTCTTAGGTATTAAAAATTGCCACATAGATAGATAGATAGATACATAGATAGATAAAGAAAAATGAGATAAAAGATAGACAGATAGATAGATAGATAGATAGATAGATAGATAGATAGATAGATAGATAGATAGATAGATTTGAATAAACTGTGATAAATAAAAAATACTAGGTAGATTTGAATATAGATAGATAGATAGATAGATAGATAGATAGATAGATAGATAGATAGATAGATAAAGAAAAATGAGATAAAAGACAGAGATAGATATGAACAGACCGAGAAAGAAAGAAAGAAAGAAAGAAAGAATCTGTCTTAGATATTAAAAATTACCGCATAGATAGATAGATAGATAGATAGATAGATAGATAGATAGATAGGCATGTTAGCACTTAGACAGTCAGTCAAGTGGATTAAAAAGACAGTTTATAAGTTTAGGGTGATAGTAACTGTGAGTCCAGTCCCTGGCTCGGGTATCGCAGACTCGGTGGAAACGGGGTGAAGAATAGCTTAGATGTGGCACAAGACCAAAAGTATGGTGCACCCGGTGAGGATCAAAATCACTAATCACTCGTAATTCATCCAGGGAGGCAAGCTTGCTAATCATTTATCCCGTTGACGTCTGGGATGATTTGCTAAGTATAGTTTAGATGGGGCACAAGGCTGAGAGTATGGGACACCCAGTGCGAATCGAACTCATAACTTGGTCGTAATTGATCTAGCTAAGTAAGCTTGTTAACCATTACACCAAGTTGACGCGAGGGATGATTTGATAAGCATAACTTAGATAGGGCACAAGGCAAAATGTATGTACCTTCCAGTTTCTCAGTCGTAATAGATCTAGCGAGACAAGCTTGTTAACCATTACATTACGTCGAAATGCCCAATAGCAACAGCGAATAAGAAGTAGATGAGATATTCGTAAACATTGACAGAGAAACGAGAACAATCTTGACTCCATAGATTAAATAGAGTTCAGTTTGAAACACCTTGAATGTTACTCAGTTCTACACGCACTCGGTGAAGGCCGAAGAGTATAAGAGCCAAAATCGTTTGATAACAACAACAAGGATGAGGACAATTGTCCGAATGTATATAATGTATGTAATAACTCTTCATTCTAAAATTTCAGAGAGAGATAGATGGAGATAGAAATCAACACTGCATGGTAATTGTCAGTTTCACTTCTTAAGCAATCATCAAAACATACGTTACTCGTTTCCATGTAGGTTATATATATAGACTACTGAGGGCTTGTTCAAAACTTTTTTTTTCAATTTTTTTTACGGCTATGTCAAGGATTGTTTATACCTATCTGTCAATTTTTGATCACCATATTCTTTATATCTACAATCACTCTATTCACAAACTTGAGCAAACTTCGCAAATAAATATAGCAATTTTTTTAACAATTATTGTTTTTGTATGTGTGTGCTAAAATGTTATGTTTCAAAAGAGAAGGTTCTAACCACTGGCTATATATATATATATATATATATATATATATATATATATATATATATATATATATATATATATATATATATATATATATATATATATATATATTGACGATTTATATCCGTAGCACCCTCTAAGTAAAAATATATTCATGTAATCCTTTGTTGTCATGGTGATGAAAGATATATAAGCCATAGATGTTATCTGGTTCTATGAAAAGAATGAAGAAAAGACAAAAGGAAAAAAAGCCTCAAGAGTTGAGTTTAATGAAAAAAAAATGAAGTTAACTTTCTTTCATTTTTTTCTTTCAGTTTCAATCTTTGCAATACTGCTAAAATGTTTAGTATAATTAAAATTTTAATCAAAATGAGAATTTTATATTTAATCTAATAAATCCACACACTAAATTTAATTATTTTGCAATATGAAATATATTAAGAAGCAATAATTATACGCGTGGATTTTTTTCCTTTGGGGGGGAGATGTCCTGTCTTTTTTTGGCAGCAGATTCAAAGGACAAAATGAAAGATTTGGTAGTTTAATAAAATGGTTGGAATTATCAAAAACGTGGTGATGGAAGTAGACACTTCGGGTTCTCGAATGTCTTCTATTGGCGCCGAGGTAGAGAAAAAGTATATTTAAAATATTTATTTTCCTTTAGTTAATTAATGCCCTTCATCTTCGCGCAACTTAGAAATTTTTCAAGTAGCGAAGTGATCTACGAGAGATTGGAAAAGAAATGTAGACGTGTGTAGAAATGAGTTCTATTTTTAAAAAAAACTTGCACATTCAGTAATACCTATAATTTCATGATTCCCTGTAACCTTCCAGCAATTTCTAAAATTTTCAATATAATCGTGTCATTTCAGCGGGTACTGCAGCATTATTTAGTAAATTATATTTTTCTTTCATTGGTTTCACGTTTTCCACTGATATTAAGTAAAGTGAATTGAATCAAATGCTGGCTCTACTGAGAGGAAAGCTCATTTACTGGGTCGTACCAGACAATTTTTCTAGTTCATTCTGCTTATTGATGTATTTACCATTCATTTATGCTTTTGTCCGGTTCACGACAAAATCCAAAGAAGGGCCTGTTATGTTATTGGTCTTAATCTGGCATCTCGAATTCAGTCATTCTCACCGTGTCGATATGGATGCTACCTATATTTTCTCTAAATATTTTCATCCTAATTTTTCTAATGACCTTTGGTATCTCGACTGCATGAATTTAAGCGTAGGCACGATTGAGTAATGGATAGCGACTCGGATTGAGGAATTCGAATTCCATTCAAATCCATTACATTCACTTACGTGCTAATACCTTTGAGAAAGGTATGAATCCTCCTCTTCTCACCCCGGCTATGGGTAAATAGCAGGACAGACCAGGTTCTATACCCTTGGATGGCAACTGGTCTACCACAGAAAGAAATGGTAACCTACTGAGGGAAAAATTCTGCCTCGTCAGTCATGTATTGAAAGATACATGATTGCCTAAGCTTGTATGGCACATGACTGACTGGATTAGCAACTAGGTCTCATAGTATTACCATTAAAATAGGTAGATGTAGTCTTAAGTTCTGTTCTGATATTTTCTTTTCTCGCCTGTAGAAATCGCCTCAGGTTTCTTGCTTTTCTGTTACATACGATTTTCAAAAATTTAAATGCAACGCTAATCGCCATCTTCTGTCTTCCAGAATCATGTTCCTTTATTGTTTTTTTCTTCCCAATAAAACCTTCTCATTCTCTTTCTCCCCCAGAAAGTCTTAGTGGCATTATCTCCTCTCTTATGGTTGACCTAAAATATGGTTAAAAAAAAAGACATTGTTTCAGATGAATTAGCACCAAGCAACTTGAAATCTTCTAAGCTTCTACATCTTCCACCTTCACGACATAACCAGTTATGGCTCTCCATAACTTCCTGCCTTTGTTGCATTCCGACATATTGTTAAGTGGGTTAATCGCTATTACCCCGTGTTTATCTTATTTTTTATATATCTTGTGTATATTAAATTTTCTAAGTCCTCTTTCTTCATTAGGCATCCCTGTAAAGGTCTCTCTTTCCGATTGTAAGTATAAGTTTTCTTTTACTTCTTGTTTTCTTTCAAATTTCTTTGTTGCTCACAACTGCCTAGAACTACATTTGTCGCTGCACGTCTGTTTTCCGATCTGTGGAGAGATTATTCAGTATTCACTGCCATATAAATGATTAGATATGGCAGAGCAGTTCAGTACTCTTTTCTAACGAAATTTTCCTATCTATTAATGATTTGCTTAGGTTTGGAAGGCATCTTCCTCTATTTCTTTGCGCCTTCCGATTTAGATATTACGTTTCTGTCGTGCCATTTCTTACATTCATTTTCTTCTAATCTATCACTTCCCAGTGCTTTAATAATTACCAGTACTACTGCTATCATTTTGCCCTTGCGGTCTATTAAGCTCTGGTAGTAAATATAAATGTATTATTTTAAGAGCTTGCTGCTAATTTAATCTTTTGTTTAAGATTTTTTTTCTTCATTTTCTTTTGTTTGTTTTTTGTTTTGTTGTTGTTGTTTTTATTTGATGGAGAAATCTCTCGATCGATCAGGTACTAGTCTCCTCGACATCTTTTTTAACTGCAAAAACTTTTTCACCCTGTAGAAAGCCTGGAGCCACTCGTTGCAGAGGATTACGAAAAGGGATAGTTTATATTGACTGAAGTGGAAGATAACGGTTGATACTAGACTTGAACAGGTTAAGATTATAGTGATCGAGGATACATCTTCTAGGGAATCTCTTTTATAGGGCAGCGCTTCGCGGGGAAATGCTGTCTGAGTGGAACTTACTTCTCACCGATGCAATACGGAGTGGTGCAATATGGGTGGTTTGCTACTATATAAGTGGTATGGTGGGTCCTAGCCGTGAAGGTCAGACCTGCTAGTTGGTCCGAGAACTTTCCATGGAAGTAGCGATAGAACAGTGAGAGACACGCCACATCCTGCCATTGAGACAGAGAGAGAGGTTGGGAAATAATAATTCTCCCACAAGGACTCCTAGACGCTTTTGAACTCTATCAAACTGGAAAGTGAGGTATAGACAGCTCCTGCCCATATATGACTCCATTTTTGGCCTGATCTGGCTCCTATAACGGTAAAAGATAGCATGACGAATCAGATACTTACTGGAGTGGTACAAGGAGCCGACTATTTTACCGCCTCTTTAACGATGGATTGTATATTGGGGAACTCCACTTGAGGTCGGATGTGAGATTCAGACCCAATATCGCCTCGAGGCATAGGAACTCTTCCAGGGAATATCTGTTTATCGTGACTGGCGTTTGCTCGGGATCTGACCGGCAGTGATGGAATGTAACCAGTTTGGTTTTAGAGGCATTGAATGCAACCAGCCGGTTTTTTCCCCACTGGGTTTTGAGAATATTTACCAGTATTCATTGTCATACAAGAGATTCGTTATTACCCGGCATTTCAGCATTTTCTTATTTATTTCCACTGAAAGTTGCCTCTCATAATACTTCGTTTACTTTCTTGTTTTCTATTTCCATTGGCATTCAGATAGCCCTTGTCTACACGACCCAGAGAGTTAAACTTTTGTCCTGCATAAGGTTGGCATCTTCAATGCGCAAATATTATTTTTAAATGTCTTCTTTTTTTTAAACATTTCATCCCAAGCAAGGCGAGAATGCCACTAGTACGTAAGGAGTTATAGAGACTGAAAGTGAGAGAAAACACCGAGGGAAGCAAAAAACGGAAGGACGTTCCACAGGCGGGAAGTACGAGAAAAAAACTGTTGGAGTAGAAGTCTCGGTTGCATTTAGCTATTTCAACAGTAATCGGGTGGGACCTACATGGCAATCTAGTAGCATGCTTAAATTCATGTAGTCGGAACACGAGGTAAAAAAAAGCTTGTAAGAGTTGTTGCCATGAAAATATCTGTAAAAAAGACAGAGGGAAGCCACGTCATGTCGGTGTGAAAGTGACTGAAGTCGAGATACCAAGTCAGGATCGATTACATTACAGATCACTCTTTGGATTTTAGCAAGAAGCGCGAGATGAATAGCAGAGGCAGTAGATCAAATATGGCAACGATATTCAATGCACGGTCGAATGGTAGATTTGTAAATGTGCAAGATGGAGTCTTTACTTTAATGTATTTACTGCTACATTAGATATACGAACCTTTACATATTTTTTAGAGTAAACATTAGAAAATGCTATATAAATCTACTTTATTTTGATAAATTTAAGTACAGTACCATCTGAACTCTTACATAATTCCATGTATTTTTGTTCCAATATATAGTGTTGTATAAATCTATTCGATTTTATGATGCGTTTCGAGCCATCACACAATTCAACTCTTCAGACCCAAACGTACGTAATCTTCTGTATCAAAGGTGGACAGTTTTATCTTCTTGAGATGAGGTATTATGTACATCATTTACATTATTCGGACTATTGTCCTCATCTTTGTTGCCTTATTTATTACAACGCTTCGATCGTTGTAAGCTCGGGTGTACCTTCTTCAGGTGCTTATATGGCAGTGATTTCGCTCACTGGGGTAGACTGTTCTACTTCCACGTGCCATGTTTAATGGATGTCAGTTATCAGTTATCGCCTGTTAATTTCCCTCTGAAATTTCTCCACTGCCTTAACCGGGTATTGAACTCACACTTTTTTGGTCCTGTCACTGGATCTAACCAACGCCTTTATCAACTGTGCCATGTTTCCTTCATCTTTGTATGAATTTTTGGGTATTATAATGTCTTCAGTAATCATTTTTTACCAGTGCTCATATTGCAATTTTTGCTGTTATCATCTCATGTTTTTAGCAGAGCTAATATTGCAACTTTTGTTTTATTATCGCTTTTCTTTGTTTTAT